TATATATATATATATATATATATATATATATATATAAATTACGATTTTTGAACATAAAAGTGGCTATAACTCGGAAACGGCTCATTTCCAAACCTATGTTTGTATGAACTTTTTTGCTTGTTTTTGGGTCCCGAATCACCTCCCGAAGTGGAGTAGGCGATTTTTCGGACACCCTGTATATATATATATTAATATAAGAAAAGAAAGAAATATATTATAATTATAATTTAGATAACTTTGGTTAGCACGCATATAACAGAATAATAGGTTAAATCGTTAAATGTGTACAAAATATGTAATACTTTGATGCATTATACTTATTAATTAAATGTAATATGTACTAACTCAAATTATAATATTACTATAATAACATGTACATACCTTCTAATGATGTTTGTGGCACATCTTGTAATATATCAAGCATTCCTACTATCTCTTAATAATTTTCTTCAAAATAATTATTAAAAAAATTTACATAAGTACATAAGTACAAGACATTTAATTAATAAGTATAATACATGCATCACAGTATTACATATTTTATATACATTTAGGGGGTCTATACACGTACGAGTTTGGCTCGCAAGTCCGGGTCGGCGAGCTTGATTCGCGAGCCGGACTCGAACGTTTTTTCACCACACACGAAAAGAAAATGTGCGAATTTGGCTCATTTGACGCCGAGCCCGGCTCGTAACATCTCATCCACGAACGAGTAGAAGCCGAGCCGAGCCGGACTTGCGAACCAAACTCGTACGTGTACAGACCCCCTAAATGTATATAAAATATGTAATACTTTGATGCATGTATTATACTTATTAATTAAATGTCATGTACTTATGTAAATTTTTTCAATAATTATTTTGAAGAAAATTACCAAGAGTGCAATGTATAGACCCCCTTAAGGGGATCCTATAGCGAAGGCCGAACTTCCTCGACGTCGGTAATGTCAACATTTCTAATCCTGTTTTCTATGTTATATATCTATATCTATCCTTGTCTAACGAGAGGCATCTGTCTTTGTTTGATTGCTGCGCCATCTCTCGCTACACGCAATACTGCTTATCCTATCAACCTGAATGTGCTTTTGCTTAATAAAACTTCATTTTACAAAATCTTTTTTTTCTAGACGTTCAATCTTAGTTTTATTTACACGATATTGTTCCTACATGTTGTCCCTACGTCGCCTTGGTGTCATTATATATATATATATATATATATATATATATATATTTTTGTTATTGTCGTCAGATGACAGTTGTATATGTGCCTAAATTAGTAAAATTTTTAATTTTTTTTTGTTTCCAATATGAAATCGTATAACGCGATGTAGATTTTTGTGCGTACTTTAATTCTAGACCAAAAACTTGCAATTCTGTAAAGCCAATTCAAAGATTCCTTAAAATGAAAAAATGTCGGTAACTACCGCCACTATAGAATCCCCTTAACCTATCATTCTATGTTATATGCGTGCTAACCCGAATTTATTTAAATTATAATTATATATTTCTTTATTTTCTTATATTAATATTTGTACATACCGTAGTCCATATATTTATACATCGCGTAGTCCATACCACAGTCCATACTATATGTCGATGACGTTTTGCTTGACAGCTTGACGTTTTACGTACTTTTAATTCGCTGAAAATTATGGCGACCGCTGAGTGAACGTGTTGAGACTTTAGGTGCATTTAGAATCGTTCAGCAGAGAATCATAAAACAGTTGCAATACTGTTGCGTTCTGCTCAACGCAGCCATTGGTTTTTAAAGCTTATTTTCTACAAAAATCGGCCTAAAGCACTTTCCTTTTTTTAACATGTGTGTGTTGCTTTTCTGCATCGTTTGAGACCTTATACGTCTCATTTAAATAATTAGGTAAATTGTTAATAACTAAAAAATAAATATAAATAGTTATTGCATTTATTGCTTGATCAACTGAAAAAAATTATATATGGGCTACAAAAGTTATAGTAGCATGTTTAGAGCCAAAAAAAAGAACAAAAATTAAAAGATTACTCTATTACTCTATATCAAATAATCAGTTGTAAAACTTTAAACGCGTTTTTCTCGAAACTACAATTTTGTAGCTGCTGGGCGCTCGCGTATCTCGGCCAATTTTTATCCAAATGACTTGAAATTTGGACAGAATGTTTATAACAAAATTGTTTTCAGTTAAGCGTACAATTTTTTATTGGACAATTAGTTTTTGAAAAACAATTAAAAAAGTGAAAAAATTTTCGGTTAAATTTCGATTTTTTTTTAGAACTGCGCCATTTTGTTAAAGATTAATAATTCAAAAAATCCGTACGCTTAACTAAAACTACATTCGTATAGTTTAAAATAACACCAAAATTTTTTATTTAAGACATCCCGTTCTGACGGAACATGAGCGTCCGCGCACCCACAATTTTTTTGCGGAGGTACATGATACCACACGCTAAAGACGCAAATATTAATATTTTTCAGCGATTTTTTTGCAATATATTAAATATATGTACTTTAAAGAAATAAAAAACCAATTTCATTAAATTTATTATTTCTCGGGAAAAAAAATTCACGAAAATGTCAGGATACAATAAATGCAATAACTATATTTACTTTTATTTTTAGTTATTAACAATTCACTTAATTGTTTAAATAAGACGTATAAGGTCTCAAACGGTGCAGAAAAGCAAGGCACACATGTTAAATAAAAAAGAAAAGTCTTCTAGGCCGATTTTTGTGGAAAATATACTTTAAAAATCAATATTAATTGTATAAACAGTTTAATATAAGGGAATTCAAATGTTTAAAGAGCCGGGGGCACGTGTTTCTGTTATCCGATCAAGCTGAACTTTGACAGGGATTATTTTTTTGTGAATTAGAAACATTTTGGAGGGTGCCGCAAAAAAAAAATAAAAAAATTTTTATGTCGAGTAAATAAGAACCACCCTAATATATATACAAAAATAATATATACATATATATATATATATATATATATATATATATATATATATATATTATTTTTGAAGATTTTTGCTCGCTGAAAATGAGCGTTGAGTGTTAATGTGAAATAACACTTTAAGGAAGTTGGCGCGTTTGCTATATATGTGTAATATAATTTTTTTTTTATTAAACAGTGTAAGTGTCTGAGCAGAATAGCTGACTTATAATTTCAAGACAGTGTTTTATGCTTTAAATCTTTGTTTTTAGCCACTTACAATACTGTCTTTGTGTCTCAAGTCTTAAACGAGTGTACAAAGTGTCAACATTGTAAGACTTGAGACACAAGACAGTATTGTGCGTTGCTAAAAACAAAGATTTTTAAAGCATAAAACACTGTCTTAAAATTATAAGTCAGCTATTCTGCTCAGGTCCTTTAGCTAGTCTCAGAAATGATTCATAAACAGCATGTTATCATTGGGACAGAGAAAGCGTAAAAATCGCAATGTTGTCCCATTTTTATATTTGATATTGTTTAAATAAATCATTTAAAAATTTAAAAAATCCAACTTAAAAAATTAAAAAAACCGTAATTGCAATTCTCGATGTCACAGAAGTGTAACAAAAATTTCATTCATTTTTTCCACATAGGAGTAAAGATACATAATATATTTATATCTATAAGCAATTTTTGGCGTGACTCTGATATAAGAAACCAAAGTGTACCAAACTGCACCAGCACCAATAGCAACCACGGATAGCAACTTTGGTATATGTACCAAACCATACCAAACAATCGCCAAAAATTTCCTTATAATACAATTTCTGTAATTTTTAAAGCAAATCTCAGAAACGCGACAGTAAAAGTCAATGAAAATTTTTCTACATATTGTTGATATAATTAACCCTTTTGTATATATTATGTATATATTATGTATATATTATAGACTTTTATTATATTTCATCAAACGCACCAACCTCCTTAATCGACTGTATCAATTAAAACGAAACATCCTGTATACATATGTGTCGCTTATAACTAATAATTAATTACAAATTAGTTCTATCCGAGCAGAACATGACTTTGTCTGCATTACATCATAAGTGTTTCATAATATTTCTATTTTTTTCTTTCTTTCTTTCTTATTACTACTTAAATTAAATTTGACCATTTTCCTATAAATTCCAGGTATCAGAGTTTACACTATATTGATGAAAAATAAAACAATTTAACACTTTTGTAACTTATATCCAACGGTCACGAGATGTGATTATTGATTAGCATACTCAGATTCAAGGTTAGGTTATCATGATTCATGACCTTGTCAATTATTGTTTCATATTTTTCTTGGCATTATACAATTAAAAATTAATACATATTATCACGTTATCTGTCAATAATAAAACAAACTAAAAAATAAAATATTTAATTCTAATAACTTATTATCTTGCTATCTCAATATTACTTCAATTTTCTTCATTAATTTATCGTTTAATTACGAGTTTCTAATAATTTTATCCGCGTATAAAAATATAAATATTCTGTATATTCGTGGAAAAAATCAAACATTTCAACAAGCCTTGCTTACCCTTCGTACCTCCGATAAACGTATCGATGAAAAGATACTGACAGATATTAGTGATATCTATAGTAATAAGTGAATCTTCCTTCCGTCTTTTTTGGTTATTGGGTCCTGCCTCTTTACAAAAGACAATATAGCCAATATGTACATACATACTCCAGACTAGATATGTATGTCGAGCAAATTTTTTTACTCAAATCTGTTAGCTTAGGTCTACAATGCGAATCGTAAAGTCGTGAGTCGTAAAAATTGACCAATCACAATCGAATTTGAGGAGAATAATCGACTGTGATTGGTCAATTCTTACTCGCATTGTAGACCTAGCATAAAGCGTCGTCTACAATGGCAGCAGGAGTATGCAGTAAGACGTAAGCAGTAAG